AGGGGAATCGTTTTAGATCCTACAATCATCACATAGTCAAGTGTGAATTTTCTGTGGTGGATGAATGGTAAAAACACGAGAGATTGAGAAGAGAACAAGAAGAGGAGGAAAGAAGAGATTTCTTGTTGCCAAAGCAAACATCAAAGAACCAATGAGAAAGACAGTGAAATTGATTCTCTCACAAGTGAACACAAACTACACAATTACTACTGTATTGAGTTTAATCCTCACTGAGTGTCCCAAATTTGTAGTATCATGCCAGATTAAGTGATTGGTGGCTGAGATAGTTACATATAACCCACCAACACATGTGGTCTGTAGGAAAACCCCAGGTAAAAACCAGAGTTTCAAGTGCTAGTTTTCAAAGTAAACAGCCTCTCCCCATAACCATTCTATATACATGACTACAGTAATCTTAGCCAATACTTTGAGATGCTATATTTGTAATATATAAAGAAAGAAATAAGGGATAAAATCTTTTAATCTAACAAGTAAACACGACTACTGGTGTTACAGAATTTAAAGTGTTTCCCAAAACACTGAGAAAGTACCTAACTAATCAAAGTTTGAACAACTGGGCTGAATGGAAAGATATTTTTATACAGAAAACGTTGTTAAGGAGGAGAAATTGGACAGGTAACAAAGAACAATCAGGAATAGTGAACAGTGTAATTATCACAAGACTGACTGCTGAAAGAAAGTAGCTTTCTTTGGCTTGAAATGAATTTTTCTTCTCATGAAGCAGGTGATGAGACACTGGATTTTCAGCCATCAGCACTTAAGAGAAAGGAGAGGAAGATGGAAAGAATCAGAAAGAAAGAAGAAGAAACTAGAGAGAGAGAAGTGGAAAAATAAGTGGTATGAGCGAGAAAGAGCTTTCAAAAAAAAAAAAAAAAAAAAAAAAAAAGCCTAATTAATTATCTTATGAAATGCACAGGAAATGGTCTTAAATCACAAAGTGTCTACTTTATTCTATTTCAATAGATCACTTGTCTTCAACAGACTTGCATGTTCTTTGAAGACATGGAATGAATAGTCAAGAGAGATTGCAATATACAGCAAAAGTCCTGAGGATAAACTTTCTACAGTTGTAGCTGAAACTCAAAGTGAAAAAGTTTAAACATTTAAAACTAAATTGTTTGATTTACAAAAGTATTTCAACACACATATATTCAAACTAAATTCTTTGATAATGGGTAGACAGCAAAAAAGATCAAAGTTGCTGACAACCAGTTGTCATGGCGTAAGCCAAATTCAGTAATGTCATTCTTAATCATACTTAAGGAATTATTTTAGAACCTATAGTACTAAATGGGAGAACCTAAAGATCTAGTAAATACACCCCCACTCCCACATAAAAAAGCCAGTATAACTGATACATACAATATTATCCATGAATACACTCCAACCACTTTTTATTTTCTAAACCTTACATAGCTGGGTATTATTATTTATAGAGGAACATGACTCAATCAAAACAGACATTATCAAGTAGTATTTATTACCAAACTCTGCAGCATCGAAACATTGTTGTCAAAAATACGATTATGTTGCCACCCCTAAATATCAAAATCAATATTTTGGCTGTGACGTTTATTTTCTTTTACTGTTTATAGTCTTGATAACAATGGCATCACTAGATTTGTACAGCCACTGGAATGTTTTCCACGTTGATAGAATATATTCTTTCAAATCTGTCTTGTTGGATGATCATTGCTTTTCTTTTTACTTCAATCCATTCCACAAATGCCCAAATAGATTTAAATGTAACAACTTCTACTCTGCTAATCAAGTACTACTACTTTTTTGATCTTGTTTTTCTCAAGAGAGCATTCCGACTTGTGCTTAAATACAGCTCTTCTCTCCATGCATTTGAGTAAAAACAAATGCTTAATATATTCTAGTAACCTTCAGCATTTGCGTTTCTGTCAATAAAACACAACTCACCAGTGCCGTTGGAGCTTTTACAGGTCAAGACCATGTCATTTCAACTACTATGCTTAACCATGCTTGTATACTTCACTATAACATATTTATACTAAACTTTTTGACTGCCATCAGACACAAACTGTTTTATCCGACCACTGTACACTGTCTCAAAATGTTTTTATCCTTATTCTCCTGCATAAACTTTAAATGGGTCTGTCTCTCAGTTTCAACAGCTGCTTTCTATACAATCATTGATCATGTAAGCTGGTTTTGTTCAGGGTCCATTTGATTATTGTAGTAGAAACATTTGCAACCAATTTTCTTGGGTTTTAATCTTCCAATCTCCAGATAAAAAAACAAATGAACCTTGGCATCAGCTTTCATGGTTGCATCTATATGCTTCCAATATTCCCATATGAATGTTAATTTCACATACTTTTAGTAACAGTGCTTTTGCTCAACTCCATCCTTGCAGCTACTTTGTAGCAATTGTTCTGTTTTTTTTTTTGTTTGTTTGTTTTTTTTGGGTTTTTTGAAGAAATAACATGTTCTTTTAAATTAGAATAGAATTATTTTCTATGTGGGCCCATTACTGACAAACATCTATACACTGGAAACTATTATATTTTATAAGATTGATTTTAACATTAATTTCTCTTTTTATAATTCCCTATCAGGAAAAAATAGACAATAATGGTTTTAAAATATAACTTACTATATGGAATAAAAATCCTTTTTTTCATAGTTGTATGTTTAAATATAAATAGCAACATTTACAGTTTTGGGGACAGAGTTTCAATGTTGTAAAGTTAGATAAATAATACCTAATAATGTATTGTGTAATGTTTCAATAGAAATAATTCTATTTTTGGTTTAGAAAAAAATTAACTTTGTATAAAAAATGTGGTAGGTATGCTCTCATTTATGGGCAATACTTATATAAGGTAATACATTTCCTTTGAAACTGACAAATATATAAGAAAAAAAACTCATGCCAAGAGTGGTTCAGATGATCAAATTTCATCTTTTTGATTTGTTTCAGTTGATCCATTCTTCAGCCTTCTTCCAATCTACAAGCTATATTGAAGGCTGGATCTCTATCATTAAAACAAAAAATTGTAACAAGTATACTGGTTGGACCAACCATCATGCTAATTCTTTGTGAGACAGGTAATTCTATATTGTTCACCATTCTAGTTCCTGTAGATTTTCTCACTCTGCAACAATGTTATATGGATCTTATCACAGCAAAGACAGGTTGAACCTATCTCCTCAGATATGGCAAACCATATCAGACCTTCACCTCTGGATATGTTTTTTCTTACATCATTTAAAAAAATTAAATAAAATGAAATAAAATGAAATAAAAAAAATTATTTTTAAAATCAATAGCTCAAATAACTCTTGGAATGATAATGAGTCATCCCAAAATTATAGAATATTTTGGAACAAGATTGTCCTTTTATCCTATCCAATAAAACTGCAGACTTAAGTGAAGGATGCCATCCAATAAAAGAGAGTAAAGAAAAAAAATGTGGGTGAGAAAGAGAAAGAATTGAAGTGGGTGGTTGAAATGGGGGTGGGGGTCAACAAGGAGGAAAGAGAAAGAAATAGGGAATCAGTAACATCTCAACCAAAATGATTGAGTCACCTGGAAAATTTTCAGAAAGTCAGATCTGAAAAATCAAACAAGCATGAAGTTAGGGTGTCGGTGGGTTTGTGTAGATTGTATTTGTGGCTTGTCTGTACATCATCACTTATTGATCTCATCCAAATTTCTTCATCACTTACCCCCAACCCATGAATTTCATTTTCACCCTGCCACCCAACAACAGCAGCTAATTCACTTAATTTCCTATCTGCATACGCTTCCTTCTCACCATGATGCAACTTTCCCTTCAATCAAAATAAACGTATAAAACAGGTCAACAACTAATAGTCTTTTGTCTTGTCTCTTTTTTATTTTTTAAATAAAAGCTCATCAAATAGATTTTACTAACAAGACATCATAGAAACAAAATCTAATTTATATCTGGTTCTGTTTTAAAAACAAATTTTCCCACCCTCCTTTTTTATTCATAAAGCAGTCAGACTAGAATCTTATAAAATTTATTTTCTCTTTAATTATGCCTATAAACACAAATCTTTAATTATTCAGAAGGAAAATTTGAAATAAATTTCATGCTTTCAGTATATGTTTCATTTTACTTTGTATATTTTGCAAAAGCACTTGAGATAAAATAGTGATGCAACTGCAAACACCAGTTCAAATAAAAGAATTATTTAACAAGTTGTTCAAACATGCATTTTTATCAATGCTGTTTTTATCTTACCTTTTAGTAGATTTATTCTTTGGTCCCCATCTGATTAGCTTTACATTTTTTTCTTAAAGTTTTAGATATGAGTATCAAAATTCTTGTAAGAAACCATAATCCCGAATCAGATTGAAAAAATCCAGTTTCCAGTACAAAACAGATCAACAGCTACTTATTTTTCAATTTACATGAGAAATGGACAACAATATATTTTCAGTTACAGAAGATCTTAATGGTTATTTTTGCTAGACATTACTATAGCATTGAACACTATTATATCTATTATGTCTTTTTGGTCTACACCCAATATAATTAAGACACTAATTTTTATTTTTGTGGTAAAGCTTCTCATATTGGCTTTTGTCTTATTTGGGATAAACACCTACAGCTAACTGTCTATACTAACCTATTTTATGCATTTTTTCAGGTTCCTGTACACAGCTTCCTTCAACCTAGAAATCTCCGGAGGAGTTCCTCATCTATTATTTTGACCTGATTCCAAGGAAACAAATGTGTGTAATTTCTAATACACTCAGTTATACATGATTTCATTATATCAGCTTGTGTGAAACAGTACTATTCTTTTTTTTTCAGTTATGGGCAGATCTTAATAGCTGTTCTTGCTTCACCATATAATGATGTTCAAGAAATACTAACATCACAAGTTGAAATGATAATGAGAAAAAAAAAGAAAAAAGAAATAAAAGCTTACAGTCTTATTTTCTTGAAATAACACAGAAAATGTAAAATACTTACCTTTCATTTTGAATTGTTCATGAACGAGATTCTTTAATCTGGTCACTTCTATCCTTTTGATTTCATCTAATCGCTCACGGATGTTATGATTAACCAAATCTAAGTCATTGGCAATTTCACCACTCTGATAAAAGAGAAGAAAAAACAAAAAGAAATGCATTGGTTACAAAAAACAATCCACACATCTTACAATTTTATATCCAGTTTATCATTTCTAACACCCGTTTCTCTTGGTGAAGTAAATTCAAGAGGCACTTCATTCAAGGTAACAATTAGCTAGAAAAGTGGTTTCAAAGAAGATATGTGACAAACAGTAACTTTTTAAAGATTGATTGCCAACATTCAATACTGGTTGACAATGGCTGGTGATACTTTATATATCTTTCTATAAATTTTCATATATTCAGAAAAAGTAATCATCTAAAACTGATTAATTAAAATATTCATCCACCAATAATCACACCCCAGATAAATGATTACTATACTACCAAAAGCTCTTGATCAAATCTATTATAACACATCAGAACAAAGTATGGGCAACTTCCATAGACGAATGATAACAGGGCTCAAAATTAGCATCCTCATAGGGAGGATAAAACATTTACAATGCCAGGTCAACACAAAATTTTTCACTAAAATTCTATTATGTTATATTCTACAAGAAAAAAAAAAAAATTATTTCTCACCCACAGTGGCAGGCTTTTAAAAAAAATAAATGGATCATGTATGTGCACACACACAAATATATACTAAACTTTAATCGTTTCTTATTAAACTGATTGAAGGACTTAAATTTATATATTTGCATTATTTATCTCTAAAAAAACATCTGGAATGTTAAAAAAATAGCTGAAAGTATCAGACCTATCTATCTCTGGAAAAACATTAGGATCTAATTGTAAAAACTAATAAACGAAGTAAGAATTTTTTTTCTGTCAATTTCTGGTCAAAAAAATTTAAACCATTAACCAACAAAATGTATGTGTGTTTGTGTGTGTGTGTGTTTGTTTTTTTTTTTTGCTTATCATAAAATAAATAGCAAATACAAAGGAGAATTTAAAAAATAATAAATACAGAAAATTTAACCACAATGTAAGGCTGGTAATTGTCAGTAGAAATTTGTTGACAGACTAAAAAATTTTTTGATTGTGAATAGCTAGAATGCATTGATATTCTTTATATAGAAGATGAATGCATAGAGCACAATTTTTAATTAAAGTCTGACAAAAGTAAAATGAAAATTAATTGAGAACATTTCTGTGTAAAATTATTCAAGGGGTTTTAACTAAAATGTTTAAATAAAAAATGTGATTTTTATCAAACTACAATAAAATTTGTTTTTGCATTAATTTTTACACATAATATTTTACCTTCTACATTTGTTAAACATTTTAATGGTATTTTTATTATGCTGCCACTAATTATTAATGATAAAATTTAAAATAAAATCTCTTCTTTTCAGAACCGTTCAAAAAGTTAGTCTGAAACTGGTTAAGAAGCTAGCAATATAAAACATCTACATTGACAACATTAGTAATCTAATGGTGTTTTGTTAATGTTAAAGTTATCTTCTTTTATATAAGTCAAGTTGTAAGCAGCACAGTTTCTTCTCGTGTGGACATTGGCAAAGGTTTTATTTTCAGAATAATTATTTATTGGCTGGAAAGTAACTTTTTTTCCAAATAGCTATAATACAAAAAAGTTTTTATATACAGTATTCAATGACCAAATTACACTAATTTCTTAAAACAATATCTCGTGCCAAGGATATTTTAGCGGATTATGGAGGCTAAGTGTTCTTAAAAAAAATCTTTAAAGAAAAAATACTTGATTTCACTCAGTGTAAATAAAGTAGTAATGCTCCCATAAATTGCCATAAAATATCACCCTGTTATATAACCCTAAACTGCACTCTTAAACCTAGCACTCAAGTGACAGTGCAACATGGGGATGTTATTCTGCAGGCTTAGCACATGCTGGGTGGTAACATCAATTATTCCTGACACCACTCTTTCTTGAGGTGACATATCATTTTAAAGGAGAAAGAAAATAATAAAACCATCTGGTTTGCCAAAGATTTCAACCTCTAACAGTACGTTTGATTTTGATACCAGTAAATATAACACATGCTAAATTGTGTACAATTAATATTAATTACATCATTAAATTTTCTTGAAAAAAAAACTAACAAAAATTTTAAAAAATATTCACACTGTAAATGGTGTTATGAGATTCTGAAATAAAATATTGGGTAACCGCAAATTTTGTTTTAGTTGTTAGATGGAATAAAAGGAACTTTTTATTTTAACAAACTTCATTTTAAATTATGTCATATCAGCATGCATCTTTATACCAAAAACAAGCTATTTTTGTTTATTGGTTATAATATTGATGATGAAAGAAAATAAGCATTTTTTTGGTATATAAAACTTATTTTAATGAAGGTAAAAAATGTAATTTAAAAGAAAAAAGATTTGTGCAGTTAATGGAGAAGGTACTGTAAATGATCAAACATGTCCAAAGTGGTTTGTAAAATTCCATGCAGAAGATTTCTTGCTGAATGATGTTCCACAATCAGGCAGATCAGTTGAAGTTTATAGCAATCAAATCAAGACGTTACTTGAGAATGCTATATGATGCATACTCAAAATATCAAAGCCAAACACAGAAAATAATTTGTACTACTTTGGTTATATTAGGCATTCACTATATAAGTGAAGGAAATATAACAGACCATATTTTCATGTGCTATTTGCTACTTAAAATTATGACAGGCAATACTAACAATACCAAAAGCTTGTCTTAACCTAAAAGTGATGCTATGATGTTTGATGGTGGTGCTGAAAAATTCTCAGCCTAAACAACTTTAGAGACATGTTAGAATTTTTTTTTTCCTGGCTTGGGCAAGAATTTTTCAGCACCCTCTTCATTGATAGGGTGGAAGGGAATCCTTTCTGATGAGCTCTCTCTGAAGAAACAAGGGATTAATTTAAACAAGTACTGCTCCCATTTATACCAACTGAAGATAGAAATCAATGATAAGTGTTAAAAATTAGTTAAGATGAAAGACAATATTCTATGGAGATAACAAGAGTTAAGTATTGTTATTTTTAATTAAAAAAAAACAAAACAAACTCAACTCTCAAAAAATGAGTAGAGCAGGAATGTTTTTTTATTTCTTTTAATAACAAAGAACTATTATTCTGATCCTAACAATGAAAAGTTATATTTGGATAAAGTGTTTTGAGCAAGGTTTGATGAATTAAACAGATACAAATTTCTTACAGGTACACATGATCAGAGTTAGTCTACTTAAAAGGCTAAAATTCTGAAAATTAATTAAAAAGTCAGGCAAGCTGGTAAAACTTCTCTACTTGAAAGGTTTGAGAAACAATCTTTCTTAATCCTTATACCAGATGAAGTTAAGTAAATATCAATACTAAGTAATTTAGCTCAAAGCATTGGAGTGTCTACTGGGAACCAAATTCACAACCAAGGGTTTGCCTAAAGTTTACTAACAACTGCTACGCGACAGGCACCCACCATACCATGAGTAAACAATATATAAAATGAATGTGAGGGAGAATTTACCTGGATGGCCCATTAATGTTTTTTAACCTCATTTTTGTAATTTTCATTAGTTAGATGGCACAAACAAAATGTCTTGCTCATATCACAGCGCTGCAGTTATTAGTTTTAAGATAAAACTCCAGCCCTATTCCTGAATCTTATAGTTGCTCAGTTTTCTTCAGAGAAACTCCTAAAGGTTTAAAATTTTGGACAGTCAAATGCTTTTTCCTTTCTATCAAACAGTACTAGAGAGAAATATTTATAAGACAATTATTGGCTAAAAATGGCACTCTTTGAGGACTTCTAAAGACCTTCAAATTTAATATTTGAAACAAAATTAGGTCAATGGGCCAAATCATTTGAATATGATGGTAACACACAGAATTAAATATTTTTTTTTTAATTTAGGCAAGGTGTTACTGGGAGTGGAAAAAAATGAGAAGGTTTTTTTAGTGAAAATAAAAGAATAGGATTCAAAAATACAGAAGATGGTAATTGATGTTGCATTTAAATTTTTGAAGATTATAGGTGTCAGGGAAGCAAGGAACTGGAAGAGAGTTCCAGAGATGAGAAGTGCAAGAAAAGAAACTATTAGAATAGAACTTAGTTACATTTAGCTATTTCAACAATAAAACAATGAGACAAAGTAGTCAATCTAGTAGTACACTTAAATTCACACTGTCAAGGTACCAAGGTGAGGAGCTCATTGAAACAACTGCCATGAAAATATTTATAGAAAAGACAGAGGGAAACTACAACAAAGTAACTGAAGTCAAGATGCCAGGACCAGTAACATTACAGATTCTTCTTTGGATTTTGTCAAGAATTTAGAGATATATAGCAGAACACCAGACCAGATATGGCAGCAATATTCATGGACAAATAGTAGATTTATAAATGTGCAAAATAAATTCTGACAAGAAAAATCGTCTGACACAACACAGTGAACCAATCTTCTTAGCAGCAGACTTATATGGTGATTGCTAACCATTACACTATGTTAAGGCACCTAACAAATATAGATATTTATTTTATATCTTAGGCATTAACTTTGTGGCAGTCAGTATCAAAATCCCCATGGTAGCAAAATAATCTGTGACACAAGCTTGTTAATTATGATGTTGACTAAATCTGAATTAATATTAAAGCTCAAGATGAATCTAAAACAAATCAAAAGCAAATTGATTTGAAAGAAACACTTGATGGTAAACAAAGTTATGCAACATCCAGAAGGAAGACACATTTTTAAAATGTAACCACCTACAAAAACATACATTTTTTTTTGGTTATGACATATAAGAATTAAATGCTTCAACAAAAAATTGAGATTTTCTTTTTATACATTTTCTGTCAAATATTGTAATTTAAAATGTAAATGCAAAGATCGCAAAAATGCTAAGGTTTTCCTACCTTTATGTAATTGATGTCTGAATCTTCTAATTTTTTCTTAAAAGCTGGATCTTCTTCTAAAACAGATACAACTTCATGGAGGTATCTCTCATATTCCAAGCCTGTGGCCTATAAATAAAAAAAAAGAAATGATTTAGGTGATTCTTTGATATCCTAAAACAAATAAATCATTAAAATAAATCAATACAGAAAAATCAGTTTTAATTCAAATTGCACACAATATATAGAAAATAATGAGCCACAATGATTCATGATAGACAGTGATGGAATAAAGTGCAATGTCCAAATAAGCAGTCACAATATAGTATAATAAAAATTTTAAAAACAGAACATCTGAATCTGATGAGTGTTTCAATGTGTGAAACTTCTAGTTGCATTTTTATTACAGATTTTATTGTTCTTTTTAGTCAAACACACACACAAACAAACAAAAAAATAAATAAATTTTTAAATTACTTTCCACTCAGTGAAAATTTATATTTAACATTTCCATGGTTTTTTTTTTTTGGTTTTTTTTTGTGTTTTTTTTTTTTTTTTTTTTTATTTACCTCAACATGTAGATTGTTACTTCCAAAGCAGCCCAGATTTATCCTATTGTATCTTACTTTTTTGGCAAGCAGGACAGCTTAATTTCAAAGCTTAATAATGCTAGGCTTCATGCCTCAAAGTGACAAAGTCGAAACACTTATGGTATAAAGGGATATAAACAGAATTCTATCACTTTTGGTGAATAAAATCTCTTTTATGCTCTAAATGGTTAAAATAGTTCTGACAATGCAAATGTTGCATATCTGTGATTTGATATGTCCTGACATGTAGCAAAAGTACATTATTTACAAAAGTAGTTATGCATTTTCCTACCAGTGTTCAAATGCCAATTTTTAAAGTAAACATAATCATTCCCCTTATTTAGCCTTGTGCCTTACTAAACTAAGCCTCACAAATATCTCATTGCATTACCAGTTTCAGCTGGATATTGAGTTTCAGGCTTTAATTGAAATCTAAAGTATTAAATTCACTATTTCCAGTAAAATACTCTGGTATATTTCAAACAGAAATTATACTGACTGGAATAATTTTTTTTTTTTAATTTGTTCTAAAGTAGTTGATAAATGCCTTTTTTAGACATCTTACATTGCAATGTATTCTCTGTATTAAAAAAAATCTTCCAAAAATAAAATATACTTTTCTGAAACTTTATTTGAGGAATATTAGCTGATTTGAAGTATAATCAATCTGATTTGAAACAAATATTATTTACTTTAAATTGAAAATAACAAAAAAATGGATTTTTTAAAACAAACAGTATTTACATGCTTTTTATCACCTATGAATCACTGAAGCACTAATAAGGTGTTGACAGTTTTATTGTTGTTCTACGGAGACTTTATCCATTAAAACATAATTTAAGAAAATGATGGGTAAACACTTTCTTTTTAATATAATTTTTAAGTACTCCATAATCTTAAAAATGTTGGAAATTTTCTCCATAATCTAATTTTAGAAATGTTGACTTTAAATTTACTATCATGATCAATCTTATTTTCTGATCATGTCATATACGGTCACTCATACTTTCAAAATGGGTACATTAAACACAAAAAATTAAAAATTATTTTAAAAATATAATGCATAATGATTTGTATTAAGCTTTTCAATTTTCATTTAATAGTCTTCATTTAATAACCTAATGGGGACAAAGTTTGAAGAATTTTTAAAATTTTTGAAACTTTATATATTATAATTTAAAAAAATAAAAAAGGAAACAGTTTATGTAAAAATTCATTATTCATTGAAAAATAAAATTTCCTTTAGACTATAATGTTCATAATATATATTATTTATAAAAGCAATTAAAAGTTAATTAAATAATTAAATAGTTTTATGGCAGTTTTTATTTTATTATTCAGAGCAGATTCTCAGGAAATCAGTAACCATTTGAAGAAGGAAAAAAATAAATAAATAAATAAATAAATAAATAAATAGATGATTTACATTCTCCAAGGAGTTCTACATTTAACTAATAAAACAAATTTGGAGGATGGAATTTAATTTCTTGGAATGTCATGAAATTAAGTAAGTGGGAATAACAGATCTAAAAAACAAAAATATATATTTTTTACCAAAATTTTCTAAAAAAAATAATTTCAAAAAGAAATTTATACATTGTGAATAAGTTCAGAAAGTTTCATTAAATTCCAACAATTATTTGATTTTTGCAAAAAAAAAAAAAAAAAAAAAGATTTTTTAACCAAAATTTTGAACGTGTTAGAAAGGAGTAAAAAATATTTAAATAATTAAAAAATACTTTGGTCTTTCCTCTTAATAATAAAAAACATTTTAACACTAAATCTTTGTTTTTAATAAGTTTGGAGTCTTAACAAAAAGGTGGCGGTATCTAAAAGAAGCAAGACAAAAGTAAAATCAAGTATTCTTATGTAACCCGTTAATCAACTTCTAACAAAACTGATCCTCAGAATGCAGAATTTATACTATATAGGTGTAATTAATTGATAGTGACTTTGATTAATAAGAGTACTGTATTTTTCACTGGTGTCAGTGACCAGTATTCAAGCCATGCTCCCAAAAGCTATGATTTTAAATACTGGTTTTTAACTTGACTGCCCTAACACAATCTTTCCTTTTCTATTTGAGAATATCTATAAAGTTGTATTTAATTACCTATGAAAAAGAGAAGATCATTGAAAAGCACCTCATAATTTAAAACTGATCATTTTAGTTTGCCATCTACTGAATTGCTAATGAATAAATCATTAAAAAATATGGTGGATTTCAAAAGAGCAAAGATAACCCACAGAAGTGGAAGCCATTAGCAAATATTTTTTTTTGGGGGGGGTCTGTTCATGTGCCTTATATTCACATTAAAATAGATTTAACTATGGACTTTGTGGCCAAAAGTGTTATGATCTAATCACCAAGCTATAACAAAATGAATGACAAATATTAAAGAAAAAAATGAAAGCTGCAAACAATGAGGCCAAGTATTCTACCATAATAGCTTAAGACATGCCAAGAATGGCTTTACAGGAACCTCACAGGAGGTCCAGATCTGTGAATACCATTTTATATAATGGAATCAACATCTACTTTGTTTTAGATTCTTGAATATGAAGAAAAATATTCTATTAATTTTATATATATATATATATATATATATATATATATATATATATATATATTGAGTGTGTGTGATTATGTGTATGTATATATGAATTTGACTACAGAATCCATGCTTACCTTCAGTATATATCTAGTCCAATACTGTTTCTAATACAAATTTATGTATTTTCTGTTTTTATTATTAAAGTGAATCTTCTAACTTAAAAACTTATCTGGATCAGTTCTAGATTTATTTTTTTTGTTTAGAAAGGAGTGGAAAATTTTAATGAGAACAAAATACAAATGGTGCACCCAAAGTAATGTCTCTTATTTCCAACAAAATTATAACCAATACAGAGAGCATCACCAGATAAAGCAAGTTTTCAGCTACTAAACACTATTTTTCTGTCTGAAACTATTAAACAAATCATATAAATTTCAATAATTCAAATTTGGTTTGAAAAAAAAAAAAAAAAAATGTCAAAATTTCAACAATCAATTTAGATACAAAACAGAACCAGAGTTAAATTTTTAGGTAGTTTTATTGAAGTTACTTGATGTATTCTAAAAACTGCCATCTCAACTTAGCAAAAACAAAATAATCACATTTTACTTCAATAAAAAGGTAATAAAATTATCAAAAATTGGTTATCACCTATAATAGAACAAACACATATGTGAAATCTTTGAATCCTTTACATTTAAATATAGTGACCCTTCTTCTCAATAACAGCCAGTAACCTTTTATCCATTGATTTTCATAAATTTTTTTACTTCAGCAGGCTCAATTTCCAACAAGGTAGTTTTAACATATATTATGGACAAAAAGAAAAAAAAAACAATTTTTTATTACATTTTAGAAGTATTAAGCTAATATTAGTTTAATCTGCATATTAATGTCAGTCAGTCCATTCTCGTAAATTCCAAATAACTCAAAACCTAACCATTAAAAATGGCAGAAAATTTAGTGAAATATTTTACTAAGGGTGGAAATTGATGAGTTTAAATTTGACAAATATTAGCTCAGAACTTTTGCATAATAACTTCAGACAGACTGTAGTAATTACCATCTATTTTCACCAGAAATGTGGCTCGCTTGTAGCAAACATTGCTATCACCACAGTCGAAACATCCAACAATTAATGTGCCACTTTGGTTTACATTAACATTCAGCAAGTACTGTCATTTTTTTCCCCAACTTAGAATTCAAAGATAATACACCACTTTATAAGCACCTTCATGTCAGATACCATTTTGATAGAGTCTTTGCAAAAAGGTAAAATAAAAAATGCATGGTGATGTAATGGATAATGGCTTGAAGTTCAAATTCCAGTCGAGTTCATTACATTCACTTACATGCAAATACCCTTGAGAAAGATATGAATCCATCTATTCTTCCACCAGCTATAAGTAATTGACAAGATAGACTGGGCTTTATAGCTTTGGTTGGCAACCAGTCTAAGAGAAGTAAAAGTGAATTCACACCAACCTAGTGAGGGTTGGTCCTTGTCAGACAATCTTGCCAAAGACACATTATTGCTGTTATGGCTGCAGTACATGTGGGGCTCCTACAACCTTAATGGTTTATGGGACTAGTGATTGTAAAAATAAATAAATACATTATGTATTATTGGTGAGAAGAATCAATTTCTACTGCCATACAACCAACATCTGTTTCCAACATTGTGAATCAACATAATAAAATAGAAGGCATTCTTTCAGAGTTCCTTACATTTGTCTTTAAAGACAAATGTAAGGACCAAGTAAATCATTTAAACAATCAACTATGTAGAGATTACAACTGCTTCATTACTTTTTACCTTAATTTTTGAAGATATTCCATCTACTTCAGTACATCTTAACATATACATAACATTTTTCTTTAAAGCTTACCAACTTAATTAGAAAACACATTTCGAAATGTCTTTGTCATATTTTTAAAAATATACACACAAACAAATTAAATATCTTTGAGAAAAAATTTAAAA